CAGTTGCCTGTTCCACTTTGCATGGGGTCACCTTTTGTCAGGAGCCAACTCAACCACAGCTAATGTGCACAGACCAGATAACCCAGGTAAATGCACCTGCTACATGTGTCTGTGTGACTGTCCACTCCCCTTTCTCTGTTCGCCCCCCCCCTCAACTTTCTAAGCAGCCACCCTAATCTGTCCCAACAAAAACATCCTCTGCCAACCCTCTCCCTTTTGTTCCATCACTGGGGCTACCAAATCCCAACCATGTAGGTCTTGAGCTTCTGAGTAATCACATTCCCCACTGCAACCACAGTTTTCAAGTCTTCACCACAAGGTTGTGAAGTAGGATCGGTACCTGTTTCTGTCCTTGCTTCACAGGTGAACAACCCCAGGCCCAGAGATGTAGCTGACTCATTCAAAGTCACAAGCGAGCTGAGGTATGACCTACAACAGGATTTCTCAACCTAGGTTTTATGGACATTTTGGGCTGGATAAGTCTTTGTTGTGGGGCTGTCCTGTGCATTGTAGAATGTTTAACAACATCTCTGACCCACTAGACACCAATAGTACCTCATTCTTGACCATGATAACCAAAAATGTCTCCAACTATTATCAAATCTTCCCTGATGGATAAAATGAGCCCTGTTGAGAACCATGGATCTAGACTGTTTTTTCAGCAGGCCAACGTCACCGTTTCTTTGAAAATTCAACTCCAAAGACCAACATTCAGTGTTTTTCTCCCTTCCCTAATATACAGCGTAATCTCTTGAAAGCAGAAACAATCCATATTTCAATCTTGACTTTTGGCATTTTTATCAAAGTATTTATAGGATAATGGATGGGGAAAAAATAGTTGGATATAAACCCTTTTTTTCACTGTGCTTTGAGAAAATCTCCATCTTGCATGTTCCTTGTCTATCTCAGACTGATAAGCCCTCTTATAAAAGCAGGGCCTTGGCTGGGCCAGGTTTACAGAACTGCCACGAACACAACATGATCCAGGCCCTACTGCTGTCTGCATTGGTGGCTGGAGGTAAGCCCTGTCACTCAGAAGTGACGAAGGTTTCCCAGTCCCCTGGTGGGACTCAGGGTGAGTGGGATCCTTTCCCACGCCAACCAAACTCAGATCTGTGGTTGTAGGGAAATCAGAGTGGCCTTCCAAAGAAATGGAGCAAAGGACAGAAGTCCATGGAAATCTTTGGGATTTACCCAGAACACAGGTTTTCTATTTGGAGTTGGGAATATGACCGGTGTAGGTTAAATGTTTGTTTGTTTGTATAAATCCCTACTCCTTGGGCTCGTAATGCTTTCTCTTTTCCTTTTTTTATAGCCCTCAGCTGTGGGCTCCCCACTTACCTGCCCCAGCTGCCCAGGGTGGTTGGGGGTCAAGATGCAGTGCCCAACAGCTGGCCCTGGCAGGTGAGTACACATCTTCTCTCCCTGCCTCCACCCTTCATGAATCACCCTTTTGCCCTTCACCCATGGGGTCTAGTGCACTGGCAAAGATGAGGATTGGTGGAGTCTCAGAGGGCCGGATGGGACACTCACCAATAAAATGAGTTTCTATGACTTTGATCAACCTTAGAGATTAGGAGAAAGTGCTTTCTCTGGCCTGAATATGAAGTATATCACCCATTACCCATACACACTTGTGGTGCTTATGGTTAAGGGCCGTTGAGTCATAGCAACCCTGTATAGGGTTTCTGGGGGTCCTGGTGTGGTGCTGTAGGATAAGCACTCAACTGCACAGTTAGTTTGAACCACAAACTTACCAGCCGCTCCTCATAAACTCTATACAGGGTCACTATGGGTTGGAACTGACTCAACAGCCCATAACAACAATAGGGTTTCTGAGGAGCACTGTTTAAAGCACTGACCTTTCCATTACTCATTCAGGCCATACCCTTAAGCTCTACACCAGGTCATAAATATATTCTCATATTCTGTATTCAATCCAGTACTTGCTTATAAACATATTGATATCTTATGCACCATTCAAGGAGCTCTGGTAGCGTAGTGGTTACGAATCGGGCTGTGAACCGCAAGGTCAGCCCGATTGAAACTACCAGCTGTTCCACGGGAGAAAGATGAGGCGTTCTGCTCCTGTAAAGATTTACAGCCTTGGAAACCCTGTTCAGGGTTACTATGGGTCGGAGCCAACTCGACGGAACTTAACAACAATGACAACAATGCACCATTCATCACCACTCAGCAAATATTCCTTGTTTTAAGAAGCCAATCAGAGCGATTTATGCAAATTAATCCTTGGTGGTGGTGGTGGTGGTGGTGGTGGCTGTGTGCCACCAGATCCATTCTAACTCACAACAACCCTGTACAGGGTTTCCAAGGTTGTAAATCTTTATGGGAGCCAAAAGTCTCAACTGTCTCCTGAGGTGTCACTGTAGATTTGAATTACTAACCTTAAGGTTAGCAGCCCAGTTAATAATCCACCAGGGCTCCTTAAGCACAGGCAAGTCAGTGTTAACAATGAAAATAACTGTTTACTCATAGTGTAATCTAGAGCACTGTGTGGCACTGTAGTATAAGCACTGGACTTCACAATCAGCTCAGTGGCAGTGAGTGAGTGAATGAGTGAGAATAGCGGTAGTAGTTGCGGGCTATTCGAATGGGTCCAACTCATAGACTGCAAATCTGTATAGGAGCAGAAAGTCTCATATTTCTTCCTCATGGATCCCTGGTGGATTTGAACTGCTGACTTTGTAGTTAACAGCTCAATATGTAACCCACTATGCCATCAGGGCTGTGCCTGGGTATAAGCAGGAAGAACAGATAAGAGGCAAAAGTGAAAATTCCCGTGAGAGATTAAGATGTGGGGACTCGTGGTTGAAACTGGAAGAAAAGACAAGCTCTCTATATACAAATTTCAAATTTTTACGAAATCTAGACTTTCTGGAGCCATTCAGACTAGATGAGCCCCTGAGATAATGTCCCTGAGATCATCTTTAACCTTAAACCTAAAACCAAAAATATCCCTTGAAATCATCTTTAAACCAAATAGTTTATCTTAATAAAGAATGTGTCTCTTGAACATTGTGTCCCTTTAAGATGTTGTTGTTGTTGTTAAGTGCCGTGAAGTCGGTTCTGACACATAGCGACCCTGTACAGGGTTTCCGAGGCTGTAAATCTTTACGGGAGCGAGCAGAAAGCCTCATCTTTCTCCCATGAAACAACTGGTAGTTTCAAACCGCTGACCTTAAGGTTTGCAGTCCAATTCGTAACCACTATGCTACCAGAGCTCCTTTCCCTTTTAGATACATAGGGTCAAATTGGCAACAGCACCTAGAACCCTTGATAGGAAACTCAGGGAAGAGTGACATTAGGTTACCGGGGGAAGACAGAGTTCAGAAGAGGAGAATGAGAATGATTGTGCAACTTGAGGGTACAATGCCACCAAATTATACATGCAGATACCGTTGAAAGGGTGTATGACCTGGTGAGCCTATTCTCAGCAATTGTTGTTGTTAAGTGCTGTCGAGTGGATTCCCACTCACAGTGACCCTGGATTTCTGAAGAGCAATTGGTGAGCTTGAACCACTGGCCTTGTGGTTAGTAGTTCCAGTGCTTATCCTATAGTGTCACACCAGGACTCCAATATTCTCAGCAACACTGTGGTTGTTATGTACTGTCGCATCAATACCAACTCATAGTGACCCTGTATAGGGTTTCTGAGGTGCAGCTGGTGGGTTTGAACTGCCGACCTTGTAGTTTGCAGTCCAGTGCTAATCCTACAGCACCATACCAGAATCCATTGTCAACAATAGCAACAACAAAAACAAAAATAAAATTTTTAAATGTTAATGTGAAGAAAACAAATAGTGTTGTTGATCTTGATTACTGAGTTGAAACCTGGGATGAGCGCCTCAGCCACCTCGCCCTGGTCTCAACCTGAACCCAGGGATGCTGGAGAGCAGATATTGGGGCTCAGCTACCAGCACTTGCATTTCTCCCCAGGTCTCCCTGCAGTACAGCTCCAGTGGTGAGTGGCGTCACACCTGTGGAGGGTCCCTGGTGGCCAACAATTGGGTCCTGACTGCTGCTCACTGCATCAGGTAACTGCATCTCTGAGAGTTAGAGCCCACGTGGCCTGAACCGCACTGCTAAAGGAGCCTTGTAATAGCCACTTTCCTGGCTGAGAAATGAGCTTCCGTCCGTCAGTCTCTCACTCAAGTCACTGGTCTTCTGATGGGCAAATACATAACATGAATTGAGTGTCTGTGCTAGACATTAAGGGAGAACAGGAAAAAGGGAAGATCCAATTCCTGCCATTTTGTGAATCTGGAATTTGATTTCCTAGAGCAACTTAACTTTCATTACTGAATTAGTTTTCATTGGTAAAATTTTGTAGGTATAATGGTTTTTTCCTCCCACTATGAGTCAGAACCGACTAAACGGCACTTAACAACAATAAAATGCATGCTGTCATTGAATGTTTTTCAATTTTTGTTAGGTATGATGGGTTTTGATTAATATTATGTGGGACACATTATATCCTTCCCAATGGCACACAGGAAGCAGTAAACTTACTTAGAAGCCTTATCTTGCTGGGACAGAAGCCCAAAGAGACACACGCTTTGCATAGTTGCTGCTCCAGGATGTACCATCTCACAGTAACCTCTCAATATAGCAATATGTCATCAGTAAACTTCCTTCTGTTTTACACAGTTACACAAGTCCCTCCTCCAGCACCATCACATACTATGCATGGGGAACAAAGCCTCACCCTCCAGAAAATACAAGTGGTACTTATATGTACCATGAAGGAGCTCCAGTAGCATAGTGGTTATGAATCAGGCTGCAAAAACCTTAAGATCAGCAGTTCGAAACTACCAGCTGTTCTATGGGAGAAAGATGAGGCTTTCTGCTCCCGTAAAGATTTACAGCCTCAGAAACCCTGTATAGGGTCACTATGAGTCGAAACCGACTCCACGGCACATAACCACTACCACCACATGTACCATGTGTTACAAAAGACTTAAATGACTTCTCCAAGCTCAATGTCATCACCTGTTAAAAAAGGTGGGGGGGAAGCTGGTTGTAGGGCGATAATAGAATTAATCAAAATTAACAAACCAGTTGCCTTTGAATCCATTCTGACTCATGGCAACACTGTGTGTGTCAGAGTGGAGTTTTCAGTGGCTGAGTTTTTGGAAGTACATTATCAGGACTTTCTTTCAAGGGTAGATTCAGACTTCCAGTCTTTCAGTTAGCAGCCAAGTGCATTAGCCGTTTACACCAATCAGGGACTCCTAATAGAATTAATTGCGGATTCAGTGACATGCTAGGTGTATAAAAGTGCTTCATAAAGGTTAACTATCCTGGTGTGGCACTATAGGATAAGCATTGAACTGCTAACATCAAGGTCAATGGTTCAAATCCACCAGCTACTCTTTGGAAATCTTATACAGGGCTGCTATGAGTCAGAACCAACTCACATGACAACATTACCATTATAAAGGCCCACAAGGGGGAAAAATACTCTACACTGTTGTTCCCTTGTCTTCCCTCCTGGTGACTTTAGTGTATTCTGCATATTTCACTGCATATTTGCTGGAGGTCACTGGGACTTTGGTTGGGTTGGTATTACACGCTTAGTATTTATATTATTATAACTCTTATATTATCATTTATAGCTATTGTATCATAGTTCTAATTAGTATATATGTTGTTATTGTTAAGTGCCATCGATTTGGTTATAGTGACCCTGTATAGGATTTCTGAGGAGCAGCTGGTGGATTTGAACTGCTGATCTTAAAGTCCAGTGCATTATCCTACAGCGCCACACCAGGATTCCTAGTATATATGTTGTTGTTGTTGTTGTTGTTTAAGTGCTGTCGAGTCAGTTTTCTGAGGAGCAACTGGTGAGTTTGAACAGCCGACCTTACGGTTCAAACCGACCTTGTGGGTCATTCCAACCTGTGGTCGAGTGCTTATCCTACAGAGCCACACCAGTTTTAGTTATTATATTATAACATAGCCTGTTGTTGTTGTTATGCCGTCAAGTCAATTCCAATCCTAGCGACCCTGTATAGAGTTTCCAAGGAGCAGCTGGTGAGTTCAAGTCACCGACCTTGCAGTTCAAATGACTTTTCAGTCTGACACATTAGCCGACAGTGCCACACCAGGACTCCTATAGCATAGCCCAGACATAGTATAATAAAGGGAGCTTGGGTGGCACCATGTTTAAAGCACTTGGTGCTAATCAAAAAGTTAGTGGTTCGAATCCATCAACCTGTTTGTAGGAGAAAGATGTGGCAGTCTGCTTCTGCAAAGATTTACAGCCTTGGAAACCCCATGGGGCAGTTCTGCTCTTGTCCTATACAAGAGGGTCACTATGAGTCGGAATTGACTTGATGGCAGTAGGATATCTATAATATCCTGGTGTGGCACTGTGGGATAACCGCAGGACCAGAAGGTGGATTTAAACCACAAGGTCAATGGTTCAAACTCACCAGCTGTTCCTCAGAAACCCTATACTGGGTCGCTATGAGTTGGAACTGACTCGACCACATTTATCAACAACAACAGTGTTAACTTATGAGAAGTCCTTCGGTGGCACAAATGGTTAAATGTTGGACTAGTAACCAAAAGGTTGTGATTCAAACGCACGTAGAGACACCTTTGGCACGCGACCAGGCAGTGCCTCGTTCTGTTGTACACAGGGTCGCTGTGTACCCATGGGATCACAAGGAGTCAAAATCGATTCAACAATACCTAATAGCAACCATGGTTCATGTAGCAATGGCTTCCTTGGGCCCATCCCTAGCATCAGCCAAAGGAAACCACAAAATCCAGGCCACTGGGGTGCCATGCGTGTGCCTGTGAGGACCAGAGCTGACTCTCTCTGTTTGTCTTCTTTCCCTAGCTCCTCCAGGACCTACCGTGTGGTGCTAGGCCGGCACAGCCTGTCCACGGAGGAGGCCGGCTCCGTGACCATCATGGTCTCCAAGCTCGTGGTGCACGAGGACTGGAACTCCAGCCAGCTCTCCAAAGGGTACCTTCTACCAATCGTCTGGGCAAGCTTAGGCGGTGGGGTGACAGGGGCAGGTGTGGGGGTACTCCTGGGAGGCAGTGGGCTCAGCCCTACCCTGACCTGAGCGTCAATCCTTCTGTAGAGTGAGGAAAAAGTACTTAGAGGTGTAGCCAGCCCCACAGATGCCCGGGGGAGGCAGAAGAAAAGACAGCCAGCATTGCCTGGGTCTCCTGCCAGTTAAGCTGTAGGTCCACCCTGAACATTCACTGATCATGTCTCTACTTTGTCCACCCTGGGGACAGGGACACAGTGGAGTCAAAAAAAGTCAGGAGCATTACTAGGGCAGGGAACCTGTCAGAAAATGGTCACGTGTGTGCTGAGGCAGTGACCAGCAGGTCAATGTAGAGAAATATGGGAGAGATGGTGAAAATAGCATGTTAGAAATGAGAAGACTCTGCCTTCGGGACCTTAAATATTTGTCCTATCAGTGGTTGGTTCTACTCTTGCTGTTATCTGTGGCTGCAGAACAATTTACCCAACACTTAATGGCTTCAAACAACAATACTCATTTATAACAATTGTCTCTTACTGTCCTGACTGGACTCAGCTGGGTGGTTCTCACTCAGGGTCTCCCATGAGGTTGTAGTCAGATAATGGCTGGGGCTGAATCATCTCAAAGACTCTATGTGTGCATGTCTGAGAGCTGCTAGATTCTAAGAGCCAGAATCCCAAAAGGACCAGGAAGAAGCTGTATTGCCTCTTACAACCCAGTCTTGAAAGTCATTTAAAGTCACTTCTGCCATGATGATAGACACTTCCAGATTCAAGAAGCACAAACATAGACCCCACATCTTGATTGGCAGTGTCACTGTCACATTGTAAGAAGAATGTGTGGAATGAGAGGTCTTGTTGCTGCCATCTTGGAACATGTAATCGGCCACAACCACTGAATTCTCTCCAAACAAGACAAGTGGGCTCAGGGAGAAAGACTAATCAAAAAGACCTTTTGATCTGAGCATCTCTTGCCATTTCTCAGCCAAACATAGGATGTATATGGCAGAACAGACATCAATGAGCAATCATGGATGTATTTTTTTTTTCTTGCTAAGCCTGGACAGACCCTCAGAATTCTTGTCAACATATCACTCCTGGCAGTCATGACTCCTTCATCACACTGCACATTGCAAGATAAAATCCACTTGTCAGCCCTCCTCTAAACCTTCTCCTCTAGGGACTTAGAGGAACCAAGGACTCCAAGCTCCACCAGGGACCAAATGCAATCCTGTGGTTTTAATCACAGCTCCTTCCCAACCCCTCTTAGCCCTGAGAAAAGTAAGACTCACAGGTCAGGCAGGCTGAAGAGGGATCCAGCTGGGGCTGGAATCAGAAATAAAACGGAGGCAGGAAAAGTCAACACTGTCCTTATATTCTGCCTCTTTCCTGGCCCAGGAATGATATTGCTCTGCTCAAACTGGCCAGCCCTGTCTCTCTGAATGACAAAGTCCAGCTGGCCTGTCTCCCGCCTGCCGGCAGCATTCTACCAAACAATTATGCCTGTTACGTCACCGGCTGGGGAAGGCTTCAGAGTAAGTGGGAGCCAAGATTCCCCCTCCCCCTTGCCAAAACTTGGGTGGGAGGAAAACAATGTCAACCCCCTACCCTATAGTCAAGAGTTCTTTCCCAACTGATCATCTCAGGGTCTTTAGAGAAAATGGAACTGGTTTCGTACCTTCACCAAACCAGAATATCTGTCCTAATGAGGGAACTCCAAATATCAGGTATCTTATTGTCATTTTATATGACATATCATGGATCTAGCTAAGCAGAAGGGGAATTTGTTACTTTTACTCTAAGGATTTTTTTACTTTTCTTACAGGGGTCTCAATCCAAGGACAGATATGAGAGGGCTTTAGGAACAAACAGCCTAGATTCAGGGGCTGAGAGGCTAGAAGATACTTTTTGTTGTTGTTGTTGTTAGGTGTCATCGAGTCAGATGCTTAGGAAACCTTTTCTCAATATCTCTTTTCTTGGAGAATCTACTTTATTCTTCTCCACATGAAAGAAAATGACAGCCACTGCCAATAACTCCCAGGCCTAAATCCTCTCTGGCTGGGATCACTTCGTTCCAATCCCAAATTTCCAGGGAAAGGATCTCATTGGCTTAGTATGAGTCAGATGGTCACCCCTGAACCAATCATCTGTGACCATAACACTGACCAATCACCTGTGAGGATATAATATAGGCAAGGAAGGCTGCTCTCATTTCAACTCTATGGATTGCTGTTGTTAAGTGCCATTGAGTCTGTTCTGACCCATAGCAACCCTGTTAGGGTTTCCAAGGAGAGGTTGGTGAGTTTGAATCGCAGACCTTGTGATTCAAACCGACTTTGTAGTCCAGTGCTTTATCCTACAGCGCCACACCAGGACTCCAACTCTATGGTTAGAGAGAAGTAAAGGGTGGCAGAGAGAAAGGTGCTGGGCAGAAAGCTTTTTCCTCTGCAGACCATTTGCCCTTGTGATGCCTTCTCTCCTATCTCTTACAGCCAATGGGGCGCTTCCTGACATCCTGCAGCAGGGCCGTTTGTTGGTTGTGGACTATGCCACCTGCTCCAGCTCTGGTTGGTGGGGCAGTACAGTGAAGACCAATATGGTCTGTGCTGGTGGTGACGGTGTGATCTCCAGCTGCAACGTGAGTACAGAAAGCCAAGCACCCACTCTTCACAAGGGAAGGTGACTGAGAGAGGGGAGACTTTCTAGGTCATAGTACCCATCTCCCCAACCCTTGGCAGAAGAACCAAAAACAGTTCCAGACATTGGAACAACTGACCTTTGTTCTTGTAGTCTCCAGGGAAGATACTTTGAGGTTCTCCTTGAGGTGTCCACAACGCTCACTGCCAGGAAGTCTTTCCTTGGGTCTCACTAAGGTCTCTCATTGCAGCCACCTCTGTTCTTGGCTCCACATTAAGTATTCTCTGAGTTACCAGTTGCCATTGGCTCATTTCCTACTCATGGCAATTCCTTGTGTGTCAGAGTAGAACTGATTTTTTTTTTAAAGGTTTTATTGTAAATTAAGTGATGGTTTTTACATGGTTTACATGGCAGAACATCTGTTTTGCACTCAACTAATCTTACCGTCAGCAGTTCGAAACTACCAGCTGTTCTGCAGGAGAAAGATGAGGCTTTCTGCTCCCGTAAAGATTTACAGCCTCGGAAATCCTGTACAGGGTCGCTATGAGTCGGAACTGACTCCACAGCACACGACAACAACAAATCACATTACAAGGATTGCAATCCCCTCCATGAGCCATTGGTTATAGTATTTGCTTCTATTCCCTCATTTGTTATGTATGCAAAAACATGCAGGAATGTATAATCATTTAAATAACCAAAGGGCACATTTTGCAAGCCAGACTCCTGACCACCAGCACACAACCTTTCTCTTTCCAGGAGTCTGGAGTCCTCAACTGCTCTGTCTCTCCATGTCCTCATCTCTGCCTCTATCTTTGGTGTCGCTACTTCTCTGGTTAGGGTCTCACATTCAGCTAATGTTCTTCTCTCTTGATGGTCCTAGAGTCTTCAGTTCCTGGAATGTAAGATTAACTACTCCTCCCTTTTTGGTACACAACTTCTACCTTTACAGTTGTGACAAGCACAATTAGTCACGATAACAATTACTCACTATTGAATCAAAAGAATCCTATTCCCATCTCTTTTCACCAGACCCGTCTAGACAAGATGAAAACTATTCAGTGAGGATGCTACCTTCCCCCGAACACTCTGAAATTAAACACCCTCTTGAAAACTTGCAAACCACTTCAAACCTTTATACCCTGCATTTTAGGCAGCCAGTGTCTAGGTTGCCCGTTCCTAACAACCTTGTGTACTGAGGGCATAGGCTTCATCCTTGATGTGAAGACTCCTTCCTTCTTGGTTGACAGAACTTTTTGGGAATAGATTAGCAGGACTTTCTTCCGAATTGTCTGGGTATACTTGAACTGTCAACCTTTCAGTTAGCAGCTAAGTGCATTAACTGCACCACCCACAGACTCCACTCTCTGGGTTAGCATCTTTCTAAGTGGAATCCTACTTTGTCTGTTGAGTTAACCCCACTAATGCCGCCATGGTGGTGGTAGTGTGGTGACTGTGTGACCTTGAGTCAGTTCTGATTCATAGCAACCCTGTATAGTGTTTCTGAGGCTGTAAATCTTTACAGGAGCAGAAAACCTCATCTTTCTCGCATGGAGTGGCTGGTAGGTTCGAACTGCTGACCTTGCAGTTAGCAGCCTAACTCATAGCCCACTATGTCCCCCAGGGTCCTTATGCTCCAATATGTCCCCTCAACATAGTCATCACAGAAGCTATAGACTGTCTTAACCATACAGCGGACTGCAGACAGAGCAGGGAGGCTCTCTGCATTTTCCACACATCCTTCAGATCACACTGTGCCGTACATTCTCTACCCTTATAGAACAGCTTCAGGGAAACTCCCTCATCAGCACAGACGATGATGGTCTTCACGGTGCACCCCCCTCCCCGCCCCTCCTACCCCCGGCAGCCAGAGTTGAAAATATCCCATGGCAATGAAGAACATGGTGCTAAGCCTAAGCTCCTTTACTTACTCGAACAAGTACAACCTTGGACAAATCAACTTCTGGGCGTGTCAGTTTTCCCTCCTCACTGTGATGGGGACCTCATACGTTTTTGTGAGGATTATAAGGTATATGAAGTGCTTGGCTCAGTTCCAGATACACACACAGAAAGGCTTAATATATGTTAGCTCTTGGTCTCATGGTGCCATCTTGAGCTGTTATCACTGGAACCTGCCTCCGAGGATATGGTGACCCACAGTAGAGCATGTAAAGGCACTGTTGTTAAGTGCCGACAAGTTGATTCCGACCCATAGCGACCCTGTATAAGGTTTCCAAGGAGCAGCTGGTAAGCTTGAACCACTTGAGAGCAAGTAAAACACCACCTTACCCAGGCCCCCAGGTTGCTTCTGACTTAGAACTCTGGCCTTCCTCAGGGAGACTCCGGGGGACCACTGAACTGCAGAGCAGCCAATGGTCAGTGGGAAGTGCACGGCGTGGTCAGCTTCGGGTCCTCCCTCGGCTGCAACTACTACCACAAGCCCTCTGTCTTCACTCGGGTCTCCAATTACATCGACTGGATCAACTCGGTAAGACTGGCATGGCCTGGGCTCGCCTGGGCTCATGAGGACAAATCCTACTTGGGAACTGAGAGCTTCCCCCTTCCTCCTGAAAGTTAGGCAGGGATTCCCTTGAGGATGCTGCAGACTTGGGCAACTCCTACTGGGTCCCCCATAGGCCCCAAAATCTTAAGTGTATAAATCTGAGTGAAATGGAACACAGAGAACAACATTGACCAAAGGGTTTACGAACAAAAAACATCCCTCAAAACACTGAGTAGGTTTCGTAGGTTTAGTAGGATATTTTATTTTTGCATTATCTGTGTATAGTTCTAAACCCCATCACTTAGTGCTGTGAACACTTTATCTGCAAAGCCCCAAACCTGATAGCCTAAGACCTCCACACCCTTAATTATTAAAAATCACACTCCCTGAAGGGTACTCATTTGTTTATAATCATCATAAAAATTATCTATGCAAAAATTTTTTTTAAATGGCACCAATATTGGGAGCAGCCATTGCTGCAAATAATAGTAAGTGGAAGTAACTATTACTGAAAGAATCCTCACAAAAAGTGGTACCTGGGAGGAGGAAAGAGGCCCTGCCTCCAGGTGATGGATGGTGGAGAGAAGAGAAAGAGAAGACTTGGCTGACTGGAGGGACTTTTTTTTTTTTCATTTTTCTTTATTGTGGCAAACATATACATATATATTGCTACTGTTACTTTAGTGTACATGTGAAGATTGTTGAACTTCAAATGTTTTCATATAGATATAGATATAGATAGATATAGATTTGTTGTTGTGAGGTGCTGTCGAGTCGGTTCTGACCCATAGCGACTCTGTATAGGGTTTTCGAGGAGCAGCTGGTGAGCTTGAACCACCGACCTTGCAGTTCAAACCATTTTGCAGTCTGATTCACTAGCCCACAGCACACCAGTACTCTCTCCATATATTTATGTGTGTGTAATGCAAATCTCTATATTTCACATACACACATATATATATGAAAACATTTGACAAGTTTCAACAAGCTTCACGTGTACATTTCAGTGGCCCATTCCTGAATTTCTCCATCACCCTTAACCCTTAAAGTTAGGTGTCCTGGGGAGACTTTTTTAAACCACTCTCTGGCAATGCCAGGGCCTCAGTTTGCTCAACTGTAAAGTGGGACTTCAACTAGACCTGGGTCCTCCGCACTCCTAGGAGGCAAACAGGAGTTGTACTGCTTGTGGCAGAGCCCCAAAAGAAGGGCAAGCTGGCATCTGATTTCATTATTTTAATTTGCAGAGAACTGTTCAATGGAATTAAATTGACATTCTGTCATAAAATAAAATATGAAGCCAGAGCCATGAACATGTGGTCAAAGAAAAATACACTGTCAAAACAAGCAGGTGGGCGGCTTCCAAGTTTCCCCATCAATACTCGCTGCTCCTTCTTCATTTATCTGTCTGATGCATTTCTTTGCCAACAAGTGGTCACAGGGACCAGACACTCTGGAAAAAAGTGTGTCAAGCAAAACTGTTAAGTTCAAGAAAAGAGTGGCCATTAACTTGTGGATTTTTGTTTTTAAATTGGAGGAAAGTCACAATTTGTTTTTAGCGATGGAAAAGCTGAGTCCAACTTTTGAGGTGCCACCGGCATGTCAAAGGAACCTGGTCCAAAAGCCTCATTAGATGGAAAGTTGTTCAGGGGCCTTTTCCCAGCCAAATCCTAGGATCCTCTTCCAGCCCCAGCTGCCATGTGATTCACCATGCAGCTGGCCCTGGCAGTGCCTGGGGTCCCAAAGCAGGGGCCTGAGGTCTAGCATCAGCTGTTCCCAGCTACACACACACACAAGGGCAGAGCAGGCCAGGGCCCAAACCATGGCCAGATGTCACAGGGGATCACTGGGGAAGCCAGCCTGGTGAGGCAGCTGGGCACTGGGCCTACATTCACATTCACAGGAATACAGCCAGGGCAGACACAGATGCCTAGCAGCAGCTTCCAGAAGTGGGTGAGCCAAGCCGCCACCTGCTGTCCTCCGTGGAGGCCACCCCCAGCAGCTGCAGAGAGGCTGAGTGAAACCTAGCAGTGGTCCCAGCCCAGGGGCCCTCCATGGAGCCAGGCACAGCTGTACCCCTGGGGATACTCAGGAACACCTGCCCGGACAAACCAGACAGGTGATGAGCTAAGGCCAGGGAGCTGCAACAAAAGGCACAAACAGGGCAATACAGGAGACAGGTGGCCAAGGGCATTTGTCCTTTCAACAAATGCTTATTGAGTGACAACACAGAAATCGGCAGCACTGACTAGTGTTATTGGTGTTCCCAGAAAGTAACGCATGTTGTTGTTATTGAATACCATCGAGTCAGTTACGACCCATAGCAACCCTGTATAGGGTTTCAGAGGAGCGGCTGGTTAACTTGAACCGCCAACCTTGAAGTTCAAACTGACTTTGCAGTCCAGTTCATTAACTTGCAGTGGCCACAGCAGAACTCCAAGTTAACACATACTCGTTGTAAAAATATTAAAAGATAGAGAGTTATTGCTCAAAGGGTAGTTTCTGTTCAGTGATGAAAAACCTTTGTAAATATTGGTGATGGTTGCACACGGTCACCACTGAATTGTATGCTTAAAAATGGGTAAAATATACTTTTTACACATACACAGATGTACTAGTAAAAGATTATAGGAGTGTATCAAGTAAAAACATAGAAGTCCTCACTTGTTTCATACCTTCATCTCCACTCCCCAGGGATAAATCACTGCTAGTTTGTTGTGTGGTCTTTGGGCCTTCGTTTACATAATATAAACACAGGTGTATATAACATCTTCTAACCAAAAATAATATCTTACTTTTCAAACCATTCTGCAACTTGGCTTTTTCACTTAGCTCTCCATCTATCATATTTTACATGTCGTTCTTTTGGACCACTGCAGAGTATTCTGTGGTTATGAATATGATTGCCACTTTAATGTGGCTGCAATGCACATCCTTGGACATATATTCTTGCACACTGATGTGATTAATTATGCTAGTAAAACTACACAAGATGCCATCCAGCTGATTCTAACAGTGACCCCATGTATGTCACAATAGAATTGTGCACCATGGACTTTTCATGGCTGTGATCTTTCAGATGAACCCTGGTGGTGCAGTCATTAAAGACCTGAGCTGCCAACCAAAAGATCCGCATGTCAAATCCACCAGCTACTCTGCGGGAGAATGACAGGGGAGTCTGCTTCCATAAAGATTTACAGCCTTGTAAATCCCATGGGGCCATTCTACTAGTATGATACGGTCACTATGGGAATCCTGGCGTGGCCGTGTAGGATAAGCATGGGACTGTGAACCACAAGGTTAGCAGTTCAAAGCCAGCAGCAGCTCCTTGATAACTCTGTACAGGGTAGCTGAGTCAGAACCGACTTGATGGCACTTAAAAACAGCATAGGATTACTGAGTTGGAATTGAATGACTTGATGACAGTGGGTTTGGTGATCTTTTAGAAGTAGATCACCAGGCCTTTCTTCTGAGGTACCTCTTGGTGGACTCAAACCTCCAACCTGTTGGTTAGCACCAACCAGGGACAGTACTAAAATGACATCACTGAGTCATGGTTTTGACATATTAGAAAGGTTAACAAATACAATTAAACGGCCTCTGAAGACAGGTTATAGATCACCCATAGGGCACGAAATCTATAAAAATGCCCAGACATTTTGTAATTAATTTTTAGGAGTTCACAGGCCCCCTGGAGCCCTAACAGGATTCCAGGCCAAGTCCACAGCCGGTCAATGGAAAGCTGTGATAACATCTCACAGGCAGGAGGGGCTTCAGATTCACACAGGCAGTGCATTGCCCGGCAGGAGAGTGGGAAACCAGCAAGTACAGCTCTACTGTTCGGTTCACTTCTTTTCTTATCTGTGTCCCTACAGGTGATTGCCAATAATTAACCAAAAGAAATCCCTGGGACTGTTTCGAACTTGGAAAGGTTACAGAGAAAAAAATAAAGTGACATCAATCTGACCTTGGTGTGAGTCTTATTAACAAACTATCCATCGGCCCAGGATCAGGCAGTGTTTCGTTCTGCTGTGCATAAGGTGGCTATGATTTGTTACTGACTCAGTGGCACCTAACAACAACAACATCCTAATTCCTTCTTCCTACACCCAAAAGACAAACACCCCCCCCCCATAAAATCCATTGCTATTTAGTTGACTGCCTCATGGACACCCCCATGTGTTACAGAGTAAAAGTGTTCCATAGGATTTGCTTGCCTGACATCTTTACAGAATCAGATTGCCAGGACTTTCTTTTGCAACACTGTTGGGTGGCATCAAAACAACCTTTAGGTTAGTAGTTGAGTGCAAACCATTTGTACCACCAGGGTCCTAAAAACAAGAAATACATTGGGGTCAGGATGGACTAAATGCTTGAGGCCTGAGTTCAAAGGGTTGTCCTGCAATCCCAGGGCCACTCAGCCAATCGGGCACAGGGAGGGAGTCAGGAGACCCGGATTCTGGCCAGGTCCCTCCACTGGATGCCATGTTCCCTTGGACAAGGACTTAACACCCCCATCACCTCCCTAGAATGGAATGGAGGTTAAATACACAGTGAGGAAATGTTTGGAAAAAGGCAAGAGGTACCTTTGTAAGGAAGAAGGGTTTGAGCAAAATGAGCAGGGATGGGCTAAAGAGAATCCATGTTCACCTAAGATTTATTTTGTAAGAAGATGACAACACAGGAAAAAAATGAGAAATGTTGAAAACATCATTTAGAATTCACAGATTAAAGTTCTTCAGACTCCAGTAGCACCAAGCCTGCTGATCGAAGACACTGGTTTCTTAAGTTGTCAAAAACTTAGTTCTCTAGCAGAGGCAAACTTTACCACCCCATTCCCATCCCCCTAGGGGACATTTGGTGATGTGTGGAGACATTTTTGGTTGTTACTACATGGGAAAACTCTACTGGCAGCTAATGGGTGGAGGTCAGGGATGTTGCTAGCTACCGTACAGTGCACAAGACAGCTTGCCACCACAAAGAAGTATCTGGCCCCAAATGCTCATAGGGTCAAGGTTGAGAAACACTGCTGTGCCTCAAGCACAGGTTCATGGGCCATGGTACCCTCAACTCCTCTTCCTCCACTGCTTGTCCATCCTTTGAGTCTAATTTGGAAGCCATTCCACACGCTAGGAGACCCTTGAGAGTGACAGCCACAATCCCAGGGACAGCCAGGCCTGAAGTGGGAAGGTAGGGGCCCAAGCCACATTAAGTTTTAAAGAAAAGTCTTTTCCGAAGGAAGTTGAAACAACCTGGCATCTGTTTGTAAATCCCTTTCTCTGAAACAGCATTTGCCACCTGTGAAGACACAAACACAAGGGGTCTGTGAGTTCTCGTAGTTGACTAAAAATTCACAAACGGGCTGCAAAGAATGTTCAAGAAATTACAGTTTATAGAGTAAAACATAATCCAGGTGTGATGCTGCAGGGTCAGCACTGGCCTGCTAACCACAAGGTTGACAGTTCAAACCCACCAGCCGCTCCTAGGAAACCTTATACAGGCTTGCTGTGAGTCAGAACGGACTCGATGGTACTTAACAGTAACAGAGCAAAACGGGGAGAGGTGGCTCTGTAGGATAAAAACTGAACTGCAATCCACAAGGTCAGCAGTTCGAGCCCACCAGCTGCTCTGTGGGAGAAAGATGAGGCTTTCTGCTCCCACAAAGATGTACAGCCTCGGAAACCCTATAAAGGGTTTTGATGAGTCGGAACCTACTCACCAGCACTTAACAACAACAACAACAACAACTGGGAGAAGGAAGGAGCCCTGTAGTGGATTGCTAACCACAAGGTCAGTGGTTCAAATCCACCAGCTGCTCTGTGAGAATAAGATGAAGCTGTCTGATTTCCAGTCTGTTTTGTCCTATAGGGTTGCTATGAGTTGACAGTGGTCTTGGGGTGAATGGGAAGTTTTTGGTTTAGGACCCAGTGAGTTTATATTGATAGTGGTGGAATGATCTGGAAAGGACAGTAAGAACAGTGGCACAGCATGAAAATTGTCAGCTAGGTCACCGAATTGTAAATGTGGAAGTTGTGTTGGTGAATGTTTCAAGAAACAAAAGTCATACCTATAACTGTTGTACTGGAGAGTTTAAAGAATTAAAAAATTTTTGAAATTCAAAACTCCTAAAATTATACTTAAAAAATGGTCAGAATGTTCATTTTTATGTTAAATAGATCTGACAACAATAGAAAATGTTTCACCAAGTTCAAATCCACAGGTTTGAGTGAAGAGAAGACAGGAGGTGAGATCAGGACCAGAAGCAGAATACCTGTCTGGCCCCAACGGCCCTGTCCCCTGCCCTCTGGGCCCAGGCTCACGGCTCGTGGTGCCCCCTTGGAGTTGTACCAGCTGTGGCCCTACACTTGCTCTTTTTCTCTCCTCTGCTCTGCTCAGCAAAGAATCAGAGCCTCCCCCGGATTCTAACCCATCAGCCCATCCTGTCCTGTGGCAGGAAATACCTGCGCAAAGCAGGAGGGAACCTTGAATGCTAATGTCCAAAGGCAAGGGTGAGGCTCTAGACCCCTGGTGGAGGCAACGGCTTAGAGTGGGGTTTTTACATAGGAGGCGCTGGGGCTCTATCAACACTCCTGCTGCAGTCTTCCAGGAGGCTTTCTGAGAGAAAGTCTACTAACAGGGGAGCCACGAGGATCAACAGTCCATGACACAATGGGGAGAGGGTGCCAGGATGGCCCCACCCTTCCTGGGAGCCATGCATGACCATGGAGCCATTCCAGCCTGGCCCTGTGGGCTTCAGAGGAGGTAGTAGGAATCACAATCCTGGAGATCCCAGAGGCAAAATGTCACCTTAGGTGTTCCATCTCATATTAAGAAGACAGACTCTCATGGCAAATCAGGGTACAGAAGCAGATGGGGTTTTTACTGTCTTTTATGTTTGAACTGTCGTGCTTCTTCATGTTGAGCCACTACCCTGCTAGCCCCCCACCCCCTGCCAACCTACCCTGAGGAGGACACCCTGCTCCTAGGATGCACTCCTGCCTGTAGGAAGACAGGCCTCACCCTGAGGAGGGTACCCCACTTCCAGCATGCACCCCCACTACAGGAAGACAGGCCTCACCCTGAGGACACCCCACTCCCAGCGTGTACCCCCCTCCCACAGGAAGACAGGCCTCACACTGAGGAGGACACCCTACTCGCAGTGTATACCCCCTCCCATAGGAAGACAGGCCTCACACTGAGGAGAACACCCCACTCCCAGTGTGTACCCCCACTATAGGAAGACAGGCCTCACCCTAAGGAGGACACCCCACTCCCAGCATGCACCCCCTCTCACAGGAAGACAGGCCTCACCCTGAGGAGGACACCCTACTCCCAGTGTGTACCCCCTCCCACAGGAAGACAGGCCACACACTGAGGAGAACACCCCACTCCCAGTGTGTACCCCCACTATAGGAAGACAGGCCTCACCCTGAGGAGGACACCCCACTCCCAGCATGGACCCTGTCCCACAGGGATACAGGCCTCACCCTGAGGAGGACACCCCACTCCCAGCATGCACCCCTTCTCACAGGAAGACAGGTCTCACCCTGAGGAGGAGGATCTGCAGATCTTCAGAGGCCGCCCACTGCTTAAAGATGTGGTCCAGTGTCTCAACATACCAGGAGCCATTTTTGGTGTCCCTCCAGGAGACAAAACCTTAGGGATGAGAAAGTCGGGACCTTGTCAATGGGCCCAGGCCCCACGGGTCAGCGCCCACCGTCTCACATCTAGCAGTGGCAGTCCACATCGTTGTGGCTCTGTCTACTCAGTGGTCCGAGTCCATCCTCACAGCCACTTGGCGCCTTTGGTTATGGTTCCCATCTTCCCAGCCAGGAAACCACTGTTTAGGAAAGACAGGTGGCTCTCCCATAGGTGCCAGCCACCTAGTTTAACCTCCAAGACAACCCCTGGGATACAGTTCTTTCCCCATTTTATTTATTTACTTATTTTTCATGTCAAATTCTTATATGGTCCACTACAAAAAAAAAAAAAAAAATCAAAACACCTACTGCCGTCAAAGCCAAATTAGACTCACGACCCAGCGTCATGCATTGCAGGGGAGAACTGCTTTCGAGGTTGTCCATGGCTGGGAGCTTGACAGAAACAGATCGACAGGACTTTCTTTTTATTTTTTATTCACATATATTTTTTTATTTCTCTTTGTATCACAAGGATGGAAGGCTCCCAATGTATTGTTTTAATGAAAATCAGTACATTTTCCCCATTCAAGTTCATGGAGAAAAATAAATAAATAAAAAAGATTTCAAATACTTTTTATCATATGGTCTGGGAAGTTTCCAATACACAGTAAAGAACTTAAAACAACAACTATATATATATATATATATGTTGTTGTTGTTGTTAAGTGCCGTCGAGTCGGTTCCGACCCATAGCGACCCTGTACAGGGTTTCCGAGGGTGTAAATCTTTACGGGAGTAGAAAGCCTGATCTTTCTCCCGTGGAGCAGCTGGTAGTTTCGAACCGCTGACCTTAAGGTTCACAGCCCGATTCGTAACCACTACGCTACCAGAGCTCTCTCTCTCTCTCTCTCTCTATATATATATATATAGGTTCCCCTGCTTATAAACTGAAATTTAGAACAATATATATTTTTTTTAATTTTATGAATCAGAAAAAAATAATAGGCTTATTTTCAATGAATTCACAGGCTAGTGCCCCATTTTAAAGATGAGGAGGCTGAGTGAGGCAGGGCAAGGCCCAGGGTGAGGCAGGTGAAGTGCATGAACTAAGAGCGCCTGCCTCTTTCAACGTCACTCCACAGGCAGCCACCTTGCCTCTCCCTGGGCTGGGCTCAGTCACACAGGTGGCCAGAGGTAGAACCAGGTCTCTTCTTAGCCACCACAGGACGGGTAGGAGGGCAAGTCTTCTGGCCACTCACCTGGGAATGTGGAGTAAGACACAAAGATGTCACTGGGTGTGGGCAAACTAGCCACGGCATCCGGCTGGTCAGAATCCCCTGGACTTTCCTGGAATGGGGCAGCATCTGACTCAGTGTTACTGCCAGATGCGCTGTCTTTGAGAGAAGCAGAGGCCACCGCAAACCCACGGTCTTTCTGCTCTGCAGGAAGTAGAAAGAAACATCAACCTGTCACCGAAACATAGACCAGAGCTCCTTTCCTCGATTCTTGGCGCCATCTAGCCTGTCTGCAGTCTAAGAACAGTCTGATTTTCTCTGGTGCCAGGGCCTCCAAGTCGGGCAGACATGACAGAAAACAGAAAACAGAGCTTTACGTCTTTATATGATAAAGTATCACATGTGTTTATGGATTGAATTGTGTCCCCTCCTCAAAGTATGTTGAAGTCCTAACCCCTACACCTGTGAATGTGACCTTTTTTGGAGGGAAATAGGTGTTTTTTAAAGGTGTTATCAGTTAACATGGTAAGCACTGGAGTGGGGTGGGTTCTAATCTAATCATTGTGGTGTCCTTAAAAAAGAAGAGAAGCGAGACACTCAGGGGGCAAGAAGATACAGCTACAAGCCGAGAAACACCCACAGCTACCAGAAGCTGAAAGAGATACAAAGGATCTTTCTCCAGAGCCTCTGGACGGACAAAATCCAGCCTGTAATTCAGACAACTAGCCTCCAGATGGTGAGACAGTAGGCTTCAGGTCTTGGAAGCCTGCCAATTCGTAGCATTTTGTTATAACAGCTCTACGAAACTAATACAATGCTCATTAAATAAAATTGGATGGAGAAAAAGAAGAAAGCAAAAATTTTACCGAAACAAGTTACAGGACAGTCTGTAAGAGTATGGACCATTTGGCATATATATTACAGATACATAATAGAAAGGAAGAAAAATCTGGAACACCACACAGCAGATGTTAGCAGTTGCTACTACTGAGTCCTTGTGTGGCGCTGTAGGATAAGCACTGGTGCTAACTGCAAGGTTGATAGTTCTAACTCAGCAGCCGCCCTTCAGAAACCCTATACTGGGTTGCAATGAGTCAGACCTGACTCAACAGCACTTAACAACAGCGACTTTCTTGGTTTTTAAATGAGCATTGAACGACTTTTGCGCTCAGGAGTCACGTGTTATGCCTACATTGGTCATTTTGTAGGGGGTGCTGTTTTAAACCAACCACATTTACAGCTCCTTTTCCGCCATCACACATTCAGTGTCAACGTCAGAATTAGGAGCAAATTGAAACGAAACCCATTCATCGTCGCACTGCTGCAAAGACGATGATGGCTGCTGACGGTCTGCTCAGCTCCTTCCGGTCTTCTCTCTGCTTGTTTTCACCTGGTTAGTAACACATGGCAGACTCAACTCATTGTGCTTTTTCCTCTTACTATGGCAGCGTGTACAGGGTCGCTATGGGTCGGAACCGACTCGACGGCACTTAACAACAACAACAACAATGGCAGCGTGAGGATTTCCCACAGGTCACTCCTGAGCCTTCTTTTGAAATCTTGGTTTATGACAGGATGATGAACACACACACATGTCCACACACAGATAGAGAGGCTTGAGGGGAAAAAGAGATGGGTTCTTCCATCTCAGGGTTTACAAGCCCAAACTGAAAAGGCTGTATGTCCTCAATCTCCATTGAGAATTGTATAAAAAAAGAGCCACAAAAAAGCTCATCCCTCTCTCTCTTTTGGTGGAAATACAGCAAGGAGAATGCTCCCTATACCACATAGTTTCCCTTTATGCAAAGGAGCCCTGGTAACATGACAGTTAAGCACTCAGCTGAAAGGTTGGTGGTTCAAGCCCATCCAGCGGCATCTCTGGAGAAAGAGCTGGCAGTCAGCTCCCATAAAGACTACAGCCAAGAAAACCCTATGGGGCGGTTCACTTCTGCCACATGGGGTCTCTATGAATCAGAACCAAGTCAACAGCACCTACCAACCACAGTATATCTTTCATGATAACCAAGGGGGGACATTTCTTAGGTTGCAAAACCAAGGCTGTTTCTCCTGAAAAATGTGGCTTCTGTCTTATGAAGGCCATGGTGGGTTTTATGAGGGGTCTTATCTGGCCTCAGCTGCAAAGACACATTTGAAGGGCAATGCTAGCAGGTATATAAGACCTCGCCATACATATTTCTGAGTACAAACTTACTCTTCTTTCCTTAGATTTCCTCTCTATTTTGTTCCACTACATCATTTGGTTTTCTTGTTGCTAGCTGCTATTAAGTTGACCCCTGACTTAATAGCAATCACATGCACCATGGAACATAACCCTGCCCAGCCCTACACTATACCCGTGATCAGCTGAAGATTGGACCCTTGTAATCCACAGGAGTTTCTCTAGCTGAGGTTCAGAAGTAGATCACCAGGACTTTCTTCCTAGTCTTAGTCTAAAAGCTCACCTGAAACCTGTTCAGCATCCTAGCAACACACAGGCCTCCACAGACAGATAGGTGATAGCTGTGCACAAGATGCACTGGATAAGAATCAAACTGGGGTCTCTTGCTTATATTTCTTAACGCTATCTCAGAATCAAAGGAGGCATGAGAAGCGTGCTAAATAATGACACAAAGTCACAAGTAACAGGATCCATGGGGATGTTTACCCTTCTGGCCTAGTAATTCCACTCCTGGAAATATACCCTAAGGAAACAATTCCATGGAGGCCAAAAGCTCTAGATGTATAAAGACATTTGTGGTTGTGTTAGCCAAAAACTGGGCATCACCTAAATGACTAATGTTCGGGAAATAGTTTGGTACTTTAGTGCATAATACTGAAATGAAATCTATTTCTTTTATTATCAAGTGATTTGAACTTGTGATTCCAAAGACTATGCAGATGTGGAAAAATGCTTACAGGATAATGGGAAATGAGAGAAGCAGACTGAAAGGCTGAAGGTTCAAGTCCTCCCAGGAGTCCCTTAAGTACAGCTCAGCAGTGTACTTCTGAAAAATCAGCCCCTGGAAGCCCGAGAGAGCACAGTTGTACTTGGACACATAGGGAGTTGCCATGGGTCAGAGTTGGCTCCATGGGCCTGGACCAACAGTCAGATGCAAAATGACATGCCTAGTAAGGTTCTGGTATGCTGGCGGTTTTTATTTCTTTACTTTTTAAGTTGTCATCTTTTCTGTCTTTTAAGTTTCAGTATTCAAACTCCCCAAAAGCAGCAGCAGTTCCAAGACAATAGCAGGGTCAGGGCAGAACTTGGGCCACACAGTGTGAACACAAACTACTTTTGGTCTCAAGACTTTAATACCTACATTGGGTATTTTCTAGTTGGTTGTTTTTAGCCACCATTTATGGCCTCTTCACTACCACTGGATATTAAATCTCAAACGAAACCAAACACAGTCATCTAGACACCACCCCAAAGACAACCATGGCACTAGTTACACTGTGGGGTACTAAAGGGGGGCCATGGAAAACAAGCAGCTAAAAAGAGCTCCAGTAAAAAGAAGGTAGGGCCTGGTTAACCAGCAGTATGACAAGACCTGGGGACTCCTAGGCCCAGGGACAGGGACATGGCCACAGAGGACCAGAGCGAGTGGAGTGTGAAGTGTCCCGCTGATATGAAGTGAGGGGAGATACACAAGAACACCCATACTTGCAGATAGTACCCACTTTACTTGGCTTCAATGGCTGGATGATCAGAACTCGACAAGAGAAAGAAAGAAGAGGAAAAAAAGAGTAATCTGCTACAATTTGATGAACCTAACCTATGCTTGTTGATGCAGTAGGTCAAAGAAGGGAACAAATCTTTACAGCCAGGGTCATTCCCACCCCCTTGGTACACAGGGTTGACAGAAATGGGCAACTTGGACATTGGCTATCTGAAATGGGGGGTCTACAAAGGCAAGAAGTGACTCGCTTACAAGCTTTCAGCAGGGAACCTAGTTCCAGAGGGTGTGGGGAAAGGTAGAATCTCCACTGATTGGTTTCCAACCTGCTGGATGGGGCTGATGAAAAGAGATGGGGATAAGACTCTTGTGGTTCAATAGGGAATGAATGACTGCTATCAGGACTGACTGTGAGTGTTGGAAAGGTAAAGGTAGACATTTTATAACAAAAGGAGGGGAGTGATTTATTTTTTAGTCCAGGAGCAGAGGTCCCTGGAACCATCAAGGGAGAAAAGCGAAGTGCAGGACCATATCCAGAGAAGCAGTGATGCCAGAGATGGAGATGAAGGCAGAGACCATGACATGGAAAGATGGAGTGGGAAACGAAATAAGATAGAATAAGATAGGATGAATGTAAAGCTACTGTTCAAGTGACAAAATTAAAAAAAAAAAAGAAGGCAGGGGTGGGAGTGGTTCCGTCAGGCAGGGCTCCTGAGGGAAGTCTTTCTGGGCGGTTCTGGTGACCCAGGTTCTAGTCAGGTGTGAAGGGAGAACAGTCTCGGTGGGAGAAATGGCAGGTGTTGGGCAGGCCCCTGGTCTAGATCCAAGATGGGAAACAGCAAGGACAGAGGGAGGCCACAGGCACCCAGGAGCACTCAGGGCCATCTGGAGGGACAGAGGCTGTTCTGGGCTCCCCTCCATAATACCACCACCAGTTACCATGGAGCCAACTCTGACCCATGGCAACTCCCTATGTGTCCAAGTAGAGCTGTGCTCTCTCGGGCTTCCAGGGGCTGATTTTTCAGAAGTACACTGCTGAGCCTTACTTAAGGGACTCCTGGGAGGACTTGAACCTTCAGCCTTTCCGTTAGCAGCCAAGCGCATTAACCACTTACACCACCTAGGGGCTTCAATAACAGCAGTTGTGATTGTTCTGTGAGTTTGGGTCAATTCCGACTCGTAGCAACCCTTTGTGACAGGGTAGAACTGCCCCATACAGGTCTGTAGGCTGTGGTGCTGTGGGTTAATGCGCTGGACTGCAAAGTTGGTTTGAATCACAAGGTCGGTGGTTCAAGCTCACCAGCTGCACCAAGGTGGCTATGGGTTGGAACCGACTCAATGGCACTTCACAATCACAGTCTTTATGGGGACAACTCACCAGGTCTTTTCTACCATGGGTCCACTTGTTGATAAATGCCGCTGAGACAGTTCTGACTCCTAGTGACCCTGTATTGGGTTTCCAAGGAGCGGCTGGTAGATTTGAACCATCAACCTTGGGGTTAGCAGTCCAGTGCTGATCCTACAGCATCACACCAGAAATCCATCAGGTGGATTCAGATCACCTATCTTTTGGTTACCTTTCGGTTTGTAATTGAGTGTTTAACCATGTGCCCCAGGGTACCTTATAGTAGTAACTGCCAACATATATTGACCTCTCACCCTGGAGGGCTGAGGTCCTGAAACTGCAGGTCATTTGTCAGCTTTCTTTCAACCAATGTGCAGGGACCAAGACTGTCCAGCTTCTGAAGCATCCTGCTGCATCTCATGGATACCCCGATCCTGCAGTGGGACCTTCTTAGATCTGTGAAAGCTTTCACATCTGCCAACTTTCTCAATTCATCACTTCTAGTTGCTTTCTTGGTAGGGATTCTGGAAGCTGCTGGAGGTCCTGGGAATGACCTGAGTGGATGGGGAAGAGGGGTCCCAGATATGAGTCTGGGATTCTGGGTGGGTCTGTCTGGACATCCTGGGGCCAGGGCAGATGAGAAATGCCTGAAGAAGGGACAGAGGCAAGCAGTGCAACTGCCAGTGGAAAAAGGAGATGGGACCACGGGACCAGAGGGGCATACAGAAAAAAAGAGATAGTGGGTTAGGTGTGTGAGCTAAGGCTTCATTCATGTGCCACTCCTCATTCTACAAATCAGATGTGAAGGCCTAGCCTACAGTGCAATGCATTTAGCAGAAATTTTATCTTAAAGAGCCTAGTTTATTCAAAGCTCCCCATCAGGCATCTTCCCAGAAGAGAAAGTCCACAATTGTGGTAGCACACGGTTGTGGTGTTCTGTCTTCTCCTTATGACCTCCAGGCTTTTGAAAAGGGATTGCCCCCAAATTAGTAGCTCATCATTGGAGGCAGCTGCTAGGCTTTGACCATGCTTTGTAACACAAGGACATTCCATACCAAATTCAGGTGCAGGTTTTTCAGCCCTGAGGCTCGCATGGCCTCTTGAGGAAGGGGTGGATAAGGTTTTTTCATCTTTTTAAATAACAACAGTGACTTTAAAAACAGCAACACAAAAGTCATCATGATCTGGGGCAGACCTTCTGAGACAGATAAATGACAGGACGCCCTGACAGAGAAAGTGGGCAGATCGCTCTTCTCCAGGTGAAGTAGCACCACCGTGTGGCGACAATGGTTAATACGCAGTCACACCGCCTGCTGGGCCAAAGCCGGAAATGCAGTTTAACCAACTCTAAAGGAGCTCTGGTAGCGTAGTGGTTATGAATCGGGCTGTGAACCTTAAGGTCGCTCCGCAGGAAACCCTGTATAGGGTCGCTATGGGTCGGACCCGACTCAATGGCACTTAACAACAACAACAAAGGTGGTGTCTTAATTTGTATTCCAACTTTCAAATCTTGCTGTTCCCAGTGAGTTTGTGTGTGTGTTGAGGGGAGGGGGAGCAGAAGGAAGAGAAGAGGGCTTGTTGTTAGTTGCCGAGATGATTTCCAACTCATACCCACCCCATGTGACAGAGCAGAAAGCACCCTCCCCCCCGCCCCCCCTTTAAGGGTTTCTAGGCTGTACTATTTACAGGAGAGTCCTGGTGTGGGATAACTCACTAAACCACGAGGTCAGTGATTCAAACTCACCAGCCACTTCTTGGAAAGCCTATACAGGGTTGCTGTGAGTTGGACCTGACTTGATGGCACTGAACAACAACAACAACATTTACAGGAGTAGATTACGAAGTCATGCTCCCTCAGGAGTCATTAGGTGGGTTTGAACCACCAACCTTTCAATTAGCAGCCAAGCACTTAACCATTGTGTCTCTTGTGCTCCTTAATGGGAGGAAGAGCGTCTATAAGTTTTGTTCATGTTGTTGTGATGTGCCGTCAAGTCACTTCCAACCCATAGCAACCCTGTATAGGGTTTCCGAGGAGTGAACCTCTGACTTTGTGGTCCAATAGATTATTTTTATATGGTTCTATTTCAAATTCAAATAATTAGAATCCACAATAGATACACCCTTCCTAGGAGCTCTGTGCTGGGCTGGGGCGCACACAGGCCTGTACCCCTCAAAGAGCTGGCTGTGTAATGGGCCTTCTCAACTCAAGGAGAAAGTGCTGCGAAAATACTGGCATATAGCACTGCCCAGTTCTCCTCATTCTCTGGGAGAGTGGACCAAGAGGCCGGGAGCAGCTACATCATTCAGGCATCCAACCCTTGAGGAGCTTAGGACATCAAGTCGATTCCAACTCATAGAAACCCTATAGGACAGAGCGGAACTGCCCCACAGGGCTTCCAAGGTTGTCCTCTTCACAGAAGCAGATTGCCTCAGCTTGCTCCAGTGGGGTGGCTGGTGGTTTCGAACCACCGACCTTTGCCTTAAACAACTGAGCCTTTAGCCACTGCACCACCAAAGGATTTGCTGGGACTGTTCTCAGCTTCCACTCTAATGTTCCACAACACCAAGAATTACAATGTTTCTCTCTTTTCCCCTTACCCTGTTAATTTTTTAAACATAATCAAGAAAGGGAAGTAGAAATGAGGTCCAAAGTCAATATATGGGAAGACTATACAAACAATCCTTAAATAGCCCTCAAATCGCCAGGAGCTGGGCCCTAACGAATTCAAAGGCCAATAATTCAATTCTTTTGGCTCTCTTTGAAGTACAGCTAGAACCTCCCTTTGGGAAAAAAGATGACGAGGAAAATAAAAACACAGTTTTCTTCTCTCCTCTGCTTTGTTTGGCCCCATCTTGTAATTGAATGAACCCATGAAACTACTGCAAATGGCACAGAAGACCAAAATCAAAACATCCAGCCAGCTGCTATCACGTCAGCTCTCCGATTCCTGGTGATCTCACATGCACCCGAGTAGAACTGTGCTCTGTAGGTGGCTGATTTTTAGACGTAGATTGCCAGCCCTTTCTTCTTAAGACACCTCTGGTGGACTCAAACTGCCAACCTTTTTGTTAGCAGAAAGAGCATTAATCGTTTACAACACCCAGGATCTCAGAAGACGATCAGCTTCAGAAGAGCGGACAAAAATACTCTAGCTAGATCGAGGTCAGGCCCTGTGGCCCACCATGACTCCATGTAGGACCCTCTAGCGGCCTACAGACCCAGTGAAGGTCTGGATGGAGAAGGAAGCTGGTGGCAGCTCCTTCCCCGCTGGATTCACCTGCAGAGAGGCAGAGTTGCTGCTTACCCCCACCACAGGCCTGGATGAAAAAGAGCTTGGGCTTTCCTCCCAGGCTGGGGCAGCCGGTCCCATTGAAGAGGTTCACAATTCTCTCGATGGCCACAGGACACCCATCTGTGCCATAGACAGCTCCCGGGAACTGGCGGTGAGTGGCCTAGAAAACCAAAAATCCTGATAATACAACCAAGAAGTTGGGGTAGGAATCCAACAGCCTTCTGGGGCTTTATGGGAGCCTAGCATCCCAGCTGGGGGCAAATGGTTGCTTGGAAGGGCTCTGGTCAGAATCCACTGCGGGAGTCTTAAACTCAGTGCCTCTAGGGGCCAGATGAGACAGGAGCTGATAGGACTACTCAGCTAGAGGATGCCAGGTGGCTCCTTCGGGACCAGAGTTTCTCAGAGTGGGTCCCTGGACCAGCAGCACCAACATCACCCGAGAACTTGTAGGAAATGCAAATTGCTGGGCCCACCCCACACCTCCTGCTGGCAGTGGGAACCAACAATCTCTGCGCTAACAAGTCTTCCAGGTGCCTCTCATGAAGACAAGCTTTGAGAACCACTCTCCTTAAACATTAGCGTGCATGAGAATCACCTAGGGCTCTTGTTAAAGTACAGCTTTGGAGCCGGAAGGCCCAGGATGGGGCCTGGGAGTCCCAGGTGATAGCGTTTCTGCCGATCCAGAGGCTCCTCTGTGAGAGAAAGGGCCATGGAGATAGCTACCCCAACAGCAGGCCGAAGTCGCGTTGTGAGCTGCTCACCTGCTGAGGTAGGTCTCTTGTGTTCTGTTTTGTTGTTCCCAAGGGAAGTCAGAAATCCTAGCTTTTGTGTGATATTACCCAGTTTTGAAGCCACTGTGCAAAGCAGAGGGGAAAAGTAGACTACAGGCCCTAATTTGTGACTTCTGATCTAGCCAACCCCCTCAACTTGAGAGATGAGGAAACTGAGGCCCAGGAAGGGGTAAAGAAGGGCTAGGCCACAACACTGGCCTAGTCCAGAGAGGGCCCAGTGCCCAGCAGGGAGTAGAGGCCGGGGACAGGAACTGAGAACTCTGGACACAATCCAGGAGTCGGGGCTCCGTAAGCACAGCTTGTCTCCTCCCTCCCCCTCCCAGATAGCTTCTCCCAAGAACACCACCCCACCCAGAAAGAAGCATCCAACTCCTCCTCAGACAAACAATGGGGGAGAGGGCAGGACCCATGCTCAAGGCTCACAAAGCCAACGGTGTTTGGGACACAGGAGGGGGCGAGGATCCTGTACAACCGCTCGGCTCCCGTCCCCGAGCCCACCTACCTGACAGCCATGGGAGAGAATGACCACCACACAGCAGTCTAGGGCACCGTGGTCCCTCTGTGCCAGCTCCATCAAAGCCAGGAGCATTTCCTGAGAGAGAAGGGTGATAAGGGCCGAGGAGTCAGGTTCCCATTCTTAGCCTGCTGGGCATGTAAACAGCCCAGCCAAAGGCCTGGGCACAGCCCTTTCCTGCTCCTGGAAGAATGACAGTCACAGCTGTCTAAGTGGCACCAGGTGCCATCTTCATTTAAACCCCCATAACAACCCTGTTGTTGTTGTTGTTAAGTGCCGTCGAGTCGGGTCCAACCCATAGCGACCCTGTATAGGGTTTCCAAGGAGCGACTGGTGAGCTTGAACCACTGACCTTTCAGTTCAAACGGCTTTGCAGTCTGGCACATCTACCCACAGCGTCACCCCAGGATTCCACAACAAACCTAAGAGGAGGGAATTACTACTACTCCCTAGATAAGGACGTTAAGGCACAGAGAGGTCACCCAGAATGGAACTGAGAGAGCCAGTCCTATCTGAGGTCTATCTTAGTCTGGAGCCTGACCTTGTAACACCACTGAATCCACAGTCCTATAAGCATCAGGGTCGTCTTGGGGTTCCTTGAGGACACTGCCCCACCCAGTCCCTCACCCCTCTCCACAGGCAGGGACTGTACCTTGGCGGACAGGTCACACTTCACCTCCACCGTGAAATGCAGCAAGCGGAAGCGTTTTTGCAACTTGTCACAGTCAATATTGGAGCCAGTGCGGGTGCTGAGATTCGACTTGAGGCAGAAGTTCACATTGTTGATAATGAGGCAGTAGCCACAAGGGTCAGCGTCCATCACGTATGCCTGTCCAAGCACAGGGACCAGTGTGAACCTTGGGTCTCTCTCACTGCATTCCTCCAGAGGGCAGGACCCCCAGTTTTTAAGCAAGAGGCTGACAGTCTTCAGAGGTCAGCATTCCAGGGCAGAAGAGAGCCGAGTGCAAAACACATTGGTGTCAGCTCTCTGTGTTAATTATACATTGAACTGTGTCCCCCAAATAGGTGTCGGAATTCAAACCCCTATACCTGTGGATGTCATCCTGTTTAGAAACGGTTCTTTGTCATATTAATGGAGTCCTGGTGTGGCACTGTGGGTTAGTTCACTGGGCTGCAAAGTTGATTTGAACCACAAGGTCAGTAATTCAAGCTCACCAGCCACTCCTCAGAAACCCTATACAGGGTGGCTATGGGTTGGACGGCACTTAACAACAACAACAACAACAACAACAGCAATTCTTAATAGCAAAGAAGCTCTGGTCACGTAGTAGATTATGACTTAGGCTGCTAACCACAAGGTCAGCAGTTAGAATGTACTAGCCTTGCTGTGTGAGAAGGATGAGGCTTCCTGCTCCTATAAAGATTTACAGCCTCGGAAATTATATACAGAATCACTATGAGCCAGCTATGTGAAGCCTGGACAGTGAATAAGGAAGATGGTAGAAGAATTGATACCTTTGAGTTGTGGTGTTGGAGGAGAATACTAAAAGTGCCATGGACTGCCAAAAGAACCAACAGATCTGTTTTGGAAAAAGTGCAGCCAGAGTGCTCCTTAGAGGCCAAGATGGCCAAACTTCGTCTCTCATACTTTGGACATATTGTCAGGTGGGTACAGTCGCTGGAAAAGGATATCAAGCTTGGCAAGATGGAGGGTCTGGTAGTGTAGTGGTTACAAATTGGGCTGCGGACCACAAGGTCAGCAGTTCGAAACTACCAGACGCTCCGCAGGAGAAAGATAAGGTGGTCTGCTCCCGTAAAGATTTACAGCATCGGAAACTCTGTGTAGGGTCGCTATGAGTCGGAACCGACTCCACAGCACATAACAACAACAACAAGATGGAGGGTCAGAGAAAAAGAGGAAGACCCCCAACGAGATGGATTGGCCAGGTGGCAGCATCGATGGACTCAAGTGTGGCTATAGTAGTGAGGTTGGCCCAGGATCGGACTTTGTTTTGTTCTGCTGTGCATAAGGTCGCTATGGATCGGTACCGACTCGATGGCACCTAACAACAACAACGAATCAGAACTGACTCCACAGTGCACAACTACCACTACCACCACTCTTAATAAATAGGGAGTGGAAAACTTGTAAGAGCCAGAAAAATAAGGCAGCCCCATCGAGTTCCAGCTCTCCAAGCTTTCACTGTACCAAGGGCAGCACAGATCCAGGAACAAGCACATACAAACTGGGGAGAAAGGAGATGCAATGTGAAGCTTACCAAGCAACCAGGAACTGCAAGAGACAAGGTTCTGCCCCAGAGCCAACAGAGAAAGGAGCCTTTCCCAATAGCCGATGTCCTGAATTTAGACTTCTAGCTTCCAGAACTATGAGAACATGAATGTCTGTTCTTTAAAGCCACCCCTGGTGGTGTTTCTGTTACAGGCTACTATGGCAAACAAAACTTGGTGTAACTTGCCAATAGCTAAACTTCAGAGACAAGTTTAGCTCCGATCTCAGAATTTAGTATGGGAGCTGCTAGCTTAGAGATCCAACACTCCTAACATTCGCTCAAAACACCCGTCACCAGGCCAGCTGTCCTGAGCAGAGGTGCTCCTGAGAATAAGGTCCACAGTCTCCTGCCCAGGCCCATCCCCGGGATGTCCGAGGCAGCTCCCTCCCCACCCTCAGCAATGCTCTCTCACAGCACAGTATGTGTTACCATCAAGGCAGCTGGACTCAGGGTGACCTTGCGCAGAGCAGAGGTCCTGCATCACATTCATGATCAATGGTATGTTTGAGTCCATTCCTGTGGCCACTACGCCAGTCCATCTCACTGAGGGTGTCCCTCATTTTCACTGACCAAAGGAAGCAAAAAGAAGAAGTCTTGATATCCTCACTTTGAGAGAGCGTCTGGATTTCTTTCTTCTCAGACAGACTGTTCATTCTGGCAGCCTATAGTCTAGTCAATATTCTCGGCCAATACCACAGTTCAAATGCATCAATTCTCTGTCTTCCTTTTTCAATTACCACTACTTACATATGTTGTTGTTGTTGTTGTTGTTAAATGCCATCAAGTTGGTTTCGACTCATAGCAACTCTGTATAGAGTTTCTGAGGAGTAGCTGGTGAGTTTGAACCACCGACCTTACAGTTAGCAGTTCAATGCTTATCCAACAGCGTCACACCAAGATTCCACATAGATTTATATATGTATTTGTGCAGTCATTTGTTTAACTTGTCTTTAACACACACTACAGGTAGTTCCACAAGGGTTTGAAACATACGGCCTGGCTCCTGGATGTTCTCAGCACAGAACCCAGGGCCAGCACACAGGAGTCACCCAATAAGTATCTATAAATGGACACCACACTCAATTCTGAAGCTTCGCCCCCCTCTCCCACCCCTGGTGAAGTCCAGCCCCTAGAATTTTATAGACGAGGAAAGAACAGGTTGGCCAATTTGCTGCAGGCAGTGGGAGGACTAGAAGCCTGGCTCTGCCTGGGCTGGGGCCCCTGAGTCCCCTGCGTTCCCAATACACCTGCAGGGAAGGGCCTGAGGAATAGATAGTGTAAAAGCCCCAAGTCACAATACACCTGTGGGGAAGGGCCTGAGGAATAGATAGTGTAAAAGCCCCAAGTCACAATACA